TTTTGGACAAAAATAGACTTTACCAAGTTTTCTTAGCTTCAATAATCGCGTAATTTGCAAGTTGGACAGTAATTTGTCAAAATTGAGGTCACTGTGTAATGATAGGAAAGTTCCTTAGAGTGATAACTAACATTTCAGTGCTCGAGCTTTTGTTTGGGGACTCCCAACCTGTGTAAGCTCATATCACGCGAGCCGCTGACGCCTCATGCGTTAGGGTGCATATGATCGTGTAATAACGAATCACTAATCCCCGACACAAATGCACATAACGTGTCATGCGAGCCCTTCTTAATCCCCTGATTGAGATCATTCGTGTTCATGCGATTCACTGTCATGTAATAAGAAGCAATCGATCGATCTCGAATCTCAAGTCAGCTCGATTATGTTGGTCAGTTAGCAACGTTAAGGAAGAAAATTTTAAAAAAATAATAACGCTTCAAAGAGAAAAGGAATCCGAATTCGGCTTCTATACCCGTCCTCCTAAAATTACCCAAAAAAGAAAACTCAGTTTAAATAAATTGCCGAAAAAAGCTGCATCTCCAATTCTCCATATATTATTTAGAGAAACCTTGTAATATTTCCATGAAATATTAGGTAAGACGCGACAGATTCCCTAAATTGGACGTAACATGGACCGAATACGAATTCCTCGAGAATTATCGAATTATCGGTGTCTCTGGACATTCGAGAGCACATGGATGTTAGTTGGAGCATTTGTAAGGCGAAAATCCACGTCATCGGTTTTCCACCACACATTATCTTTTTTTTTGTTTTCGCACGAACTTCCTTCAACACAATATCTTGGCAAAAAATAGGAGAACGTACGATTAACGCATTGAAAGGGAAAAACTTTAGGTCAACCCATCTATTTCGGACAACGCACGCGAGCAAAGAACGAGGAAGCAACCCAAATTGCGCATCGGTCGGAACCACCGTGGTGACTCTCCCGAGCGAGAAATTGCCCCAAAAAATATCAGTTCAAATATTCGATCTTGGGTAGGCCCCAATCTGTAAATATTTTCGGGGCCAGATTTGGTATTTCTCGAAACGAGCGACCCCCACCCAGCAAATTTGCCACGCGAGACGCATGATTGACTTGACTTTCCATCCTTCCCAGAAGCTCAGCTTTTTTGCACTAGAGAACAAGCATGGGGATGTCATTATGCATCCTTTTTTTTTTGGCTAGAAATGTCATTATGCATCTTGCACATGCTAAACGAATTCGTCAAAAGCGCGTAGTGATTTCCCCAAATTCTTTATCGGGGTCCCGATGACCCGTTGGGTAAATCCACGGTCCATCTAAAATCTCGCGATGAAACCGTAGACGAGATCTGAAATCGGTGTCGAGTTTGAAAATTCAAATCCTCTTGAGACCCATCTACGATCGGGACGAGCTGAGAGACGGGCGAGATCCGATCCGCCTTCATCGGGGCCCTTGATGAGCGTCGCGATCGCTTCGGGTCCATCCATTCTTTCATTAAAAGAAAAAAGGGGGAGGAAGAAAAGAAAAGAAAGAAAAGAAGGAGACGGGGGGAGGCGAATGCGATGCTATCGCAATCCAATTTGGTGTGTGGCCACTCAAGGCTTCCTAAATCCCGGGTGGCGCGCAAGTGCACACATGGGGTGTCGGTAGGTCGGGGTCGGACAACGGCCCCAAGCATCGTCCAATGCCCGATTTCCAGCGAATCACACCCGTCACGATCATGTTAGTGGGCAATCATCAGGAACCCCAAAATGGGCCTCCACTAATCTTAATTAAATTAATTGATTAATTAACCCCGCCTAATCACGACACCCTCGGCTAATGCTCCGTGATTTGTCTTAATCCTTTTTGGGGAAAAATAAATTAACAAAGGGAAAATGGCACAAAATATCACTGGATTTTTGGCCCAACGTGCAATGTGATTCATGAACTTTTAATTTATTCAATGCGGTCGCTGAATTTTCAATTTGTTCTTAATCGTTTCGGGGGAAAAAATTAATTAACAAAGGGAAAATGACGCAAATGGTCCTTGAACTTTGGGCCAATGTGAATTGTTATCCTTGAATTTTTAATTTGTTTAATGTGGGCCCTGAATTTTCAATTTGCTCAATTTAGTCATTCAACTATATGAAAATGTTTAATATTGTCTCTGAACTTGAATTGCCGGAAGGATAATAATAAATATTAGGATTAATACCAGGTACACCTGTGACAATTTTACCCCGAACTATTTTTTTGACCATGAAAAGCCCCACATTGGTATACCTGTGACAATTTTACCCCCGAACTAATTTTTTGGCCACCAAAAACCCCAAACTGCTACACCTGTGACAAATTTACCCTCCGTTAGTTTCCGTTAAATTTTACTATCAAATTGCTAAGTTTAATGACACGTGGTAATTGACATGTGTATCGGTTTTGGGTTTTACCCCACTGTTTGTCACAAGTTTACCAATTTGTGATTTTTTGTGATATTAATATAATTTAACGGACACTAACAGAGGGTATATTTGTCACAAATGTATCAGTTTGGGGTTTTTAGTAGTCAAAAAATAAGTTCGGGGGTAAAATTATCACAGGTGTACCAGTGTGGGGTTTTTCATGGTCAAAAAAATATTTCAAGGTAAAATTATCACAAGTGTACCAGTTTGAGATTTTTTATGGTAAAAAAAATAGTTCGGGGTAAATCTGTCACGGGCGTACCAGTTTGGGGTTTTTTGTGGTAAAAAAAATAGTTCGGGATAAAATTGTCACAGGTGTACCAGTTTAAGGTTTTTCGTGGTATTAACCCTAAATATTATTATATAATTCAGGGACTAAGTTGAATATACACAAAAAGTTTAGAGACCGTATTGCGCATCGAGCCAAATTTCACGTACCGTTTATGTCATTATCCCATTAACAAAAGGGAGAGTTTTGTGTCCCAATCGCTAATGGATGGAAGTGAGCACATTGCCCCACTTTTTATCTCTTTTTTTTAATTTTTTTCGCCACGTGAAGCTAATTCTAATGCTAATTTTTGTTCCCTAATCACATATTAAAAGGAAAAATGCCGGCAGCTGTAGATTTTTAGTGCTTTTGATGGTGGCAATGGCACCAAGGATTATAATCATTATTTGTTATATTTTAACCATAAAAATAAAGAAAAGATGACGTCATCTCGTTCGTTCACCCCACCAATGTCTCGAATGTCGCCGTCACGAAGTTGTCGTTACCTCCGATAGGGCATAAATATACCTCTGATAGGATACGAAATATTGTGTATTTTTGTTATCGAGTATATTCTAGTCGAGGTTAACTGATTAATACTTCTGTATTAGTAAACGAGTCTAATAAAATGACATTACTTAAGTTAATTTACGGTATATAGTTGATTAACAACATGCTCTTTTGGATAAAACGACATTACTTACGTTAATCTATAGTATAAAGTTGATTCAATGGAAGCATGTTTATCCACTTGGCTTCATTCGTGATTTGTTAGATGCTTCGCTTTAGAGGATTTATTAGCTGTATTTAACCTATTTATATTGAAGAAATGAAGTCCTATTACCGGCCAATTTACCATAAAGGCAATTTAACTTTGGTATACTTGTTTTACTGGTCGTGTCGTTCAAGGTACGGACATTATTTTTTTCAATTTTGGCCTTTGAAATAGTTATTTCGAACATGATTTTATTTGCATCCCTATTTCATGATGTTGAATTTTTATGATTTTTACGGTTAATCCTCACAAGATATGGATTTAGGACATGTAATATATCTAACTCCCGAGAGATCTTGTTGAGTGATTCATAAATTACACCAGTCGCTAAAATAATCGCCACTCTACGTAGTCATTTAGAGTAGCTTTTTTTTTTTCTTTTTTCTTTTAGGGATTGGCTCTCGTGAAATGGATTGGTGGTTTGAGAATGAACGATGCCCAAGCCGATTTGACAAAGGACGAGAAGTGATCCGTTGGGCGAGAGGGGCTCGAATAGGACGTGGCTCCCGACACATGAAAAAGCGAGAGCATCGCCGGGAGATATGGGTCAACACGAGAAGGACGAAGGTCTTTTCGCGGCTCGGATAAGAATTTTTCCTTCTAAGAACGGTAGAACCCAAGCACAAGAGGACAAGACGGCTTGCTCCTTGGCCCTATGATGATCTGATCATCTTTGCGAAGGGAATGTGATACCCGACAAAGGTAACGAGGTCGAGGGTCGCATTCCTAAAGTGGAAACTTCGACGGACTCCTTACGTTTGTGCAAGAATTCAATCAAGCGACCAAGACGACGTGCTACTAGTCCTAAAGATTTCGTGCGATTAACTCGGGATCCAAACGCAACAAACAAGAGCAACCGACGAAAGCTTTCGAGTTGTTTTATTTAGTTATGTTTCTTTTTTTTAATCTCCGAGAGCTCCTTGTTCGGAAACACTAAACCCTCCCGTTCAATTGACATTTTTTTTTTCAAGAAAAGTCTAAGTTTTTATCGGTCAATATTTAGCGGCTCGCGATGACTCTAAACGCCCAAAAAAGTGAAAAAAAGAGAGTCAAATTAGAGACCGCTTATATCGAAGATATTCTGGGTACAAGACGAACCGACTTAGACTCTGTTTGTTTCGCGAAAAATATTTTCTTAAAAATGATCGCTTATATCTCATACAAAAATGAATTAACAGAAAAATATCTTCATCGTCTACGGAAAATATTTGGACATAAATTACTGGCGATAATGAAAATAAATTTTTTATTGATTAATTATTTCAAACGATACAAACAAATCATTTTATGGAAATTTTTTTTCAAATTATGAATTTTTCACGAAGCAAAGGTACTCAGTCGGTTAATCGCTTTTGCGTTGAGACCCACTAGAAGCGAACAGCCCAGATCTGCGGTCTCACGGCCGTGAAAGCTGCATTTACATGGGCCTTTACGCACACGGCCCATCTACGGCCCATCACACGGCCCACATCCATCACCTCGCAAAACCTCCCATTTCTCTCTCCGTCTGTCGTCGTCTCCTCCTTCGCGAGCTTCTCTACAGCGTCCATGCGAGATCCGCCATCCCGACCTCGAAGATCGCCGGCCGCCGTCGTTCTGCTCTCGCGCTCGCGTCGCGCTCGTGGCAGGGCAGCGGATGAGCTAGGAGCGCTTCGATTCCTTGTTCGTTCGTTCGATTTCGCGGTCGCCCGCTGAGGATTCCGTACGAGATTGCTGGCGAGGCTCGCGGCATTGGTTCGATTTCTCTCCTCGCGGACGATCGAAACTGAAGAGTGAGTCAGTTTCTTCTGTTTCGACTTGCGCGTAGCTCAAGCTCGCTTGATTTCTCCGTCACTTCCATTGAGCGTCGTTTGATGATTTCTTCAGAAATTGCCGCGTGCTAATCATCCGTGATGTCTCGCCGTTGGTTTTAGCAGTTTGAGTGGGATGATGGTAATTGGTATTGCCGTTTTTCTTTTGAGGACATCAGCTCTTCGATTCTTTCCCGTGATTGGAATAGTAAAATAATCACAACCAGAGCCGAATGCCAATTCCCAAATTTCATTATGTCGCAAAAGCACAACGCACTTTTCATTGCCATTGGAAAAGATGCGACCTGCATTAAGCCCATTTGGGGTTTTAGACGTTGAACATGAATATGTTGTGTACCCTTTGCTTGAAAAATCGATTCGGCGATATCTGTTTGCTTATTTGCTTCGAAGGAGCTATGGGTTTGCGGCTCCATCAGACGAGATCCACGAGAATTTCTCAGTTTGCTTTTTTCATTTGAATTTATTTGTTGTAGTCTAAGGAAAGTTCGAGCCTTGCAACCGGGCAAGCTTACCGAGACACCCTTTGTAACTTGTGCAGAACTTCTCTAACTGTTTGCAGGGGATGAACTCGCGATCATGACTTGAAAAAATGAGAAGAAATTTGAGAATTTGGTGGCCCAAGCAGCACCTTTTAACTCAACCATCATCGCATGACATCTTGTTTGGGTGGTTTGTGTCATCCTCTCCAGCTTCTGTGGATATTGTAATAGCTCTCAGCATCAATGAGACCTTATTGTCTCATTTATCACCGGGTCTTGAGGTAAAAAGCTACAAATCTCGTCGGCTGTCGTTTTGCTGCTAGAGTCATCGAACTTTTGTCGTGATTGGCTATAATTCTCTCTCTTTTGATGATTTTGGCGTACTTTATTGGTGCTACCTTAATCTGCTTCTTTAATATCTTTAAACTGCCCCAATGAATTTTGTATATATTCGAATTAGCATTAGAAGTTAGTCAGGTAGGCTTCTTGGCATCTGCTTCAGTTGCAGGATGTGCCCTGGGGCAGGCTTCACAAGTTTTCATCTCATTACGCTTTTAGTTTTTACTCTTTAGGGTTCTATGATATTTTCTTCGGCAAAGTTTAAAGTGATTGTTCTTGCAAATTTTCTTTCTCTACTTGGCAGAACAGATATGCTTCATTTTAAACATTTATAATCTGCTCCAGGAAACCCTTCAAGATACAAATCGGGACATGCCCGTAAATTTAAAGGATAAAGCTGCGTTCTGTGTCTTGGGTCTGTCTGCTGCTGACCCAAGTAAAGGCAGCAAAAAGAAAAGGGATCAAGGCTGTGGCTGCTACAGGATTACTGAACCACTTGAATCATGTAGGCAACTTGCTGTAGGAAGCAATAGTTGGATCCAGCTAATGCATAATTCTTGCTCAGGCTATCAGGGAGAGAACTTATGGCTCCCTGAAGTGCATCATATTCACTGGAAGGGGGAAGTAGTATATCACTGCGATGTGCACGTATGTAAGTTATGATTACTTCCACTTTTGCTTCTAGTCCAAAGCTTTTTATCGATATTCCATTCCTTAACTTTATTCTGAAAAATCCAGATTATAGTTTATGAAACTCCAAGGCATGGAGCACACCATTTCGCTCTTAGTTATCCACACTATCCTGGTCAAGTAAAAGTTCCTGTGAAGAAGCCCAAGTGGATTGAAGAGCTTCATCAAAAACATTCTCAAGTTGACCTGGTATTTCAATAGCAGACTTTAATACTGCAGCCGTTATCAGCCTCTTGTTGACTGGTTTTTTTGTCCTTAAATGTAGAGTACATCAATTCTTGCAATCAACAGTTCTAGAGCTGCTTCTGCTACATTATACAAGAAGACATGTTCTGGGCCAGAACGATCTGTCTCTCATTCTATCCTTATTTGGATGTATGATTCTTAGTATTGTTTCTTTGAACCCATTTCCTTTTTCTGAATTCTGATGACATGAACTTTGGCCTTTCAGGTTTTATGCCTTCATATGGCATGCATTGGCCATATTGGCAGCTTCGTTATCCACTCTTTTCTACATCATTATCCAGAATTGTCATCACATTATGAGGTGGGGATCACAGTCGCGGATGTACAAAGTATCTTCACAGGTGTTCCCGACTGCGTGGTCTAACATCAAAATTAGGTCTTGTCAATATCTATATTGGCCTGTCTTCCTGCAGAATAGTGGCCTCAGGTAATAAAAGACTCCTTGAATAATTACTTTTCCGCTTATCAAGAGTTTCAACTAAGACGCTGCATAAGTTGGCTTTATTTTGACAGAGGTTGTTTAAATTCCAATACTTCCGTTCCACTAAACTCTTTCTTGAAAGTTCAGGGCAGAAATGATCTCGATGCTTTTACTGAATGCCTCGCTTCAGGGAGAATTCTGTTCCATTTTGACTCATTTATAGAAGATCTTAGGGACAACTGTGGATTGGTCAGTTGTCATGCAGTAGTGAACAGTGAGCCTGAGCCTCTCAAGCCTCATCTTGTTGAGCAAATTGCTTTGAACTTTTTAGTTGATAATAATTTAGAAGGTCTTGTGCCAGCAATTCTTCCTTTTCTTTCTTTCTTTGTGGTTCTTTTCCCTCTTCCTCTTTTTGGGGTGGTGGGAGGGTGGGATGTGGTTCAGATAGATAATGCCTATGCCTACGCCTACTCTAGATGGAGTGTGTTTATGATATTGTCTCCTTTGTGAGCTTATGCTATTGTCTCCCTTGTGATATTGTTGACTTTGGAATCATTAGATATTACTTTTTAGGACTTGGGTTTTTTTCTCACCTTAATCACAATCCTCCTCTAATAGGTTTCAATCCAGTGTAGAGTTCGCTGAGAAAGCTGCATTGCGGAAGCATTCCATTTGGTCAAATATAGCCATTGATGTGCTCCTCGGAAACTTAATTGGGTTGTCCTTACTATATCATGCGGAACTGGTTAGCTTGTGGTTTCTGAACTCTGTGGAGGGCCTAAATAATTATCTGCGCATGGGATCTGTGTGGTTAATGGGAGTCCCTGCAGGATTTAAATTGAATACAGAATTAGCAGCCATCCTTGGCGCTACGTCTCTTAATGTCATACAAATTTGGTCTACCCTTTGGGTTTTTGTGGGCTTCTTTCTGATGAACATAGTCAGAGGAATTGCTATAGTAGGGATGCTTTTTGGGGCTACTGTTATTGCCGCACTGATGGTAGACATGATCGGGGCGGCAACTTTACACATATCTGCTCTACATTCATTGATAGCTTGTCTTCATGCTTCACAGACACAGGCACTGGCTGCTTTATGGCGCCTGTTTAGGTAATGCTTTCTAGTTTCTTTGGTGTAAATACAGCGTTTCGGTGTAATAGGAAAATTTACTGCAACATGCATCAGCAGCTTTTATGTTAACTGGACAGTGTGCGTAGTTGACATTTCATTTTTTGGGTTAATTTTGCTTGAGCTGTCGATCGAGTGGTGAGTGGCTGTTACGCTCCTGCTATACTTTATTGGCCCATTAGGATAAGTCAAGTTTTAGCCTGTAGCTGTGTTGCTCTGCACTTTGATACATCCAACATTCTACAATATATCATCTTCATTTATACTAAACACAGTTACTGGATGATGCTGATTGATTCTACTGTCTGGAGAAACAACTAACTCTACTGCATTGCTTTTCTCTTTCTGAAGTCGGGATGGTTCTCTGCCAATCAAGTTCTTTGTTGCCTCCATTTTTTTCTTCTCCAATTTTCTGCAATATACATAACATTGTCTGTGTCATAGTCAAGTATTTGGGACTTTCATATACATAAAGGTTGTCCTTTGCCTATTTGGCTTATAAATGATGGATGTTTTGTTCCCTAATGCAACATATAATCTCAATCTAATGGTGAACTAATTAGTGCTTAAAATGACATCTCTTTTAATTCATGACGAAGTGTTGAGGGAGGGTGAGCTTATGGTGAAGAACCTATAAGATGATCTTGCATGAGAGTTACCTAGTCCTATATCCACTGGATTGAATCCTGGAACCGCTTACTAATACTCATGATCCTGCTGGCTGCAGCTCCTTCTACAAATCATGATACTTACTTGATGCGGATGTTTTGCTGCTTAAAGCAACTTGTTGAAATTATTTTTCCAAATTTTATATCTAAATAAGTTTCATAGACATTTTTGACAATATTTTCATGAAAATGTGTACCAGCCATTTATTTAACCTCATGAGGTGCTAATTTCTCAACAGGAAGATAACCTTTTTCAAACAGTGAGGAACGTTATGAATGTAGTTATGGTATAAACTGGTGTGGTCCATCTTGTGAGCTAGGTCTTAATTTCTGTTTTTCAGTTTTAGTGGGGATCTTATGAACTATTTGGTGCCTTCTTGAGTTTTTTGGACAAACTAAAATAATTCTTTCATGTGAATTGTGTGATGTTAATCATTACTTTTCTATTATCGTCTTAAATTGTTGATGGAGTCTCTGAATTTTCTGCAGGGGTCAAAAGTTGAATCCTCTTCGCATGAGATTAGATAGCTACGATTACACTGTCGAGCAACACGTTGTTGGATCACTTCTGTTTACTCCCCTTCTACTTCTGTTGCCAACCACCTGTGTCTTTTATATATTCTTCACCATTGTGAATACATCTATCAGAGTTACTTGTGTGCTAATTGAAGTTTTAATATCTATTATTCATGAGACACCTTATGTCAAAGTTCTCCTTTGGTTGGTGAGATCAACCAGATTTCCTGCTGGTATATGGTTCGAAATTGCTTCCTGTAAATATAACGGCGTACATCCCATGGAAAGATCTATTTGCGGTGGCAATGGCATACATCCAGATTTTGAGAATGCACTCAGGAAAACAGAGAAATACAAAAGGTCTACTGCCCTGGTTTCATTTCTACGCGTCAGTGTTCCAAGCATTGGTAAGATTCTCAGATCCTTGAACATCCATATCTTCAATGTATCAGTAGTAACTATAAATCAATACCTATGGGATACTTTGTTGCAGGACAGATAATCTTACCTCATTACAAGAAAGTCTTTACTGGTGTCTCCACATCACTTGTTGCAGAGTCTGCGTATGGAGTTCTCACTGGAAAAAAGTCGGTAGAATTTTGTCCTCTGTTGACTTGATTAATGCTGTTATTGGTGAAATATGATGCGATCTCTCTCTCTTTCTCTCACTCTCTCTCTCAGGATTTCATATGGCCTGGTTTCTCATCTTCCATCAACTCTCCCATGGATGCATATACCGGTTAAAGAGTACTGGCAACTCTGCCATAAATCAATTCTTTCACACTTGGGAGACCAAAGATGTTTTTAGCCTTAGGTTTTTTTAATTCTAGCTGACCTCATTGACGGCCCATATTTTTCCCCATATTGCTGAGAGCAACTTACTGCTTGCTTATTGATCGCTTGAAGGCCACGAGTACTTCAGCAGCCTCATACTCCTTTTGGGCTGGCTCCTGGCTAGGCAACTTTTGTAGGTTTAGCTTGCCATTTTGGTCTTAGTTAAAATCAAGAAATACTTCTTGACTAAGACAGAATGCATATTTCTTGATTTTAACTTTTGTAGTTTAACTTTTGGTCTTGTCGCTTCAGGTGGTTTTATACTACAATGGTGTGGCTAGACTAAGACAGAATGCATATTTCTTGATTTTGGCATGGGTAGTTCACTGGAATTTACTACTTCTACACCCTAGTCCTAGGTCGCCCTAATTAATATTGGAATATATGAATGGCCCTCTAAGTTTTGGTATTTGTGCAATTTGTTCCTCTGAAGTTTCTTTTTATGCAATCAATCCTTCCATTAGCAGCCATTAGTAACCTGGTATTCGTGTGGCATTACTGAGAGGCCAGGGAGAGCGTCGCCTTAGCTGCGATTGAGGTGATTGTAACGCAGGTTGAGACTGAAACGATCAAAAGCGAGGGTCGCAAATGAGGATCCCGACCCTTTCAAAAAGAGCGCAAGCTCATCGTAACGCGATTGCCATTTAGCATGAAAACGCGGAAGAGTGTTCCAGTGTGTCTATGATGCCCCGACCCTGGGGCTCTCGAAGTCGGGGGCCGTTTGTAAATCCGTGAATTAGAGTCAGTAAACCGAGCAATGCTCGCATGCTCAGAAATCTTTCCCCAGCAATGCTCATGAGACCAACTCTCTCTCTCTCTCTCTCTCTCTCACGCACGCGCACAGACTTCCAAGACTGACAAACGAAAGATGGAGACAAGAAGAAGTACAAAATAGAAATTTGTATGAAGCAACAGAGGGTCACGGGAGTTGAATTATCCAGGCAACACAGAATATAGAATGAAAGCTCCACAAGTGCTAAAATAGTACATGGCCACAGATTGCCACCTTCTGCATGTCGACAGAGAGAGAGAGAGAGAGAGAGAGAGAGAGAGAGAGAGAGAGAGAGAGAGAGAGGGAGGGCATACTTTTTGACAGGTGAGTGTCCAGTTGGTTCTAACTCATTTCACATTCTGACGTTGGGATGTGGTAGTTATCTGTTGGGCTTGAATGCAAGACAGGATATTTGTCGTGTGACGTAGAATTCCCGTGATATGCTTATATACAACGTCTCATTTTATAAAATATGCATTATTTTCTTTCAATGCCAAATAATCGAATCTATTATTTAATTCACGATATCATATCAACATGTCACGTGATATAAGCATTTAATTACATGATTTTTTTTTATATTAGCGGACCCATGTTAACATAACAGCATGAAAGAGATACATGTGAATGCTCACATGTGATTATGAGGGCCCACCTTTTGTTTGCAATCGACCCTATTTCACATGGGTGAGAATCGATTGGTCATGGGGAAACCTTGGGAAGGGACCAACTCTAGCCTCTCTATGGTTAAAGGAACTTGACAAAACTTGGCCTCCCCTAACTTGAAAAGAATCAAATCTTGGCGTGTCATTGATTCTAATGAATTTCGTCTAACCCTCATCTGGGTAAATGCATACATAGCATAATAATGGGCTTACTATGGGGTCATAGATACTCAATCTTCACGATATCGAACTCGAATACTTAAGTTAAGTTTTCCCGAATCATAATTCCAGTGCGCTAAGCAAAGAAGCTGAGTATAAGCTTGTAAAATTGACCATGCAAACATCAAGAGAGTAGATTTTCTTGATCAAGCTCATGTTGAAAGAAGTGTTCCAATCACTCAGTTAGTCCTTTGTCATGTCATTCACTTGTATGCCCAAAAAGAAAGCCAAAGAGTGGGGGATCATTAAGGGTGAATTCACACGATTTAAGTTGGCTCCACCTTCACTTTCCAAGCAACTTGGCCTGTTTGTTCTTTTTGGGAGAGAGAGAGAGAGGACAACAAGTCATCAACTTCTTGCTATTAAATAAAACACTATTGACATTGCGTCATCGTCTTCGATTCATGCAAAAAGGACACACTTCACATTCTGAATAAGGACAGTATCTCACAAGCTGTTCCTATAAAAAAAAAGCTCTAACACTCTCAAATCCCAACCAAGTCATTCAACAATCACAAAGACCTCTCTCTCTCTCACAACCAGGAAGAACATGGCAAGTAAGCTTGGCATTGCTATGCTGTCCCTCTTCGTGATGCTCCTTCTAGTACCAGAAAACCATGTAAGCTTCGGCTTTATCGAGCGCTCCCCAATCATCCCTCACGCCATTTCCGGTGTCACTCATTCATGCATGCACATCCATGTTCGCATTCTCAGCACTTCATTTTTTTTGTCCGGTGATCATGAAGCACGTATTCACTCAAGACATATACACATATAGTCGAACACACACTTAAAGGCTAGTTATAGCGCTTACTGGTCAAAGAATTTTTACAAGTCGCAGATTTATTAGACGGCCAGCTTGATGCACAATGCATAGCATGTTGATGAACTGTGGAGTTGAATGTAACATGTAGGATCGACCATGTATCAAATGTATTTCGATTATTTCTGAAAATAGCATCACTCCTTGCTATATGGTGAGGTTTGAGGAAAAGAAGAAAATGAACCCCATTACATTTCTTGAGAATCGACTCAATTATACAGTTTCTCTGTTTCCAGGCGACGATTACGGAGGCTCCGTCGCCACAACCCGAGGCCACTCCGGGCCATCTGCCCCCGGTGCGATAATTGTTGTTATATGATTGCCTTTTCTTTTTCTATCTTGAATATTGAATTCTGATATATATTCTCCTCTCTTGATCTTCTTCTTCTTCTTTCAGTATGGTGCCAGGGAAGGCAGTCTTAAGCCCCAAGGTAAGAGATTACACACAATCTCGCCGTGAAATGGAACTGAACGTACAGCTAATGATGAGACACTATTTATTAGAAGCAAGAATTCGAAAGATGAATTACATATCGAGTTTTACAAATGTTCTTATTACTAATAATCAACTGATTATCTTTAAAAAGAGTGCGGACCGAGGTGCACGAAGAGATGCTCGAAGACGGCGTACAAGAAGCCATGCATGTTCTTTTGCCAAAAGTGCTGCGCCCAGTGCCTGTGTGTGCCTCCAGGTACCTACGGAAACAAGCAACTCTGCCCTTGCTACAACAACTGGAAGACCAAGCGCGGTGGCCCCAAATGCCCCTGATCTTCTCTTCCTTTTCCCCTTTCAATCTCTCTACGACAATCGTACGAGCCCATTTGACGCCGCAGCAATTGCACTGTAACCGTGTCCCGAAGTGTTGTAGGTTCTATACTGTTTGGAACAGTTCTCTTGGAAGCTGCTGCTAAAACTATTGTGGAGGAGCTGTATGCTGTATAACCTCTGCTTTTATGTCACTCTCCCGGTTGATTCTACGTAATTCATTTTAACTACTTTTAATATATCAGAGTGGTCATTCAACCATCCTTGATGTACCAAGATGCGGAGAAAGCTCGGAAATGAATTAATTACCGGCCTATTATAAGTATTTTTTGCTGATATGCATATCATGATGGAGAATGTATTTCGTATATCAATTAAACCACGTGACGGTGACCTCTGGAAAAACAAGCCCATCGAAAGTAACAGGTTTTTGAAAAATGGATGACGTGAAATCGACTGAAATGCACAGTGATGCAGATAATGTGATAGGCCGTTCATACCACTCGAGCCGTGTAATGGGCACATAAAATACTTTCTCTTCGAGACGAGAAACATGGATAAAAGGAGGACCTGGTGGGCTTCTTGGCCCAACCTCAATTCTTTCTGGAGGTTACTCATATTTCCATCCGTTTCACTTGAGATCATTCAGCTTCCACTAGAGACGGCATGGAAGAGTAGTATCAACAGTCCATGCTCGTTTTCTGTTGCTTTAGATGCCATGTACCGGGGTCTGGGGTTGCGAGTGATCCCTGCGCGCGAAGCTGTAGGCAACGCCTCCTGGACGAGCTCTAATCTCGTCACTGGCTGCAAATTTAGGAAAACTGAGTAATCAATGGACCTACTCAACGGGCAAGCTTGAGATAGGACACGGACCACTTTCCATACACAGGTCTGGTGGTTGGTGCGAGCCTGCGTTTCCTAGGCCTAAACAAAGAAAACGAAAAGAAAAACCGTTGGACCTAACGACCAAGCCTGTCCCTTCCTGGCAAAGTTATAAAAATTTAATCAGTCAAGCAATTAAGTGCCAACTACCGCAAAACATCAGCATAGACACAGCTTGAAATTAAATGTGCAGCCATCTCTCCGCCAAGCAACTTTGTGGGGAAAAGAGCTAATTCACGAGGGTCATGTCTCTGAAAAGAAAGTGTCGGATCGAGCAAGAACTTTCGGGGCGTGTCCTTACGTACTACATCACATACTCTCTCATACCCATTCGAATCTCGAATCTCGAATCTCGGGGGTTAGAAAAGATTCTATACAAAGTTTAGAACGAAGTGCCCGTCTAGTACTCTGATGAGAGACTGTCGATATAGTTTGATAGACTGCGTCGCGCGAAAGAACGAACGACGGGCACTGAAAACTCTCGAGAATCCACGGAAACACGAGAGCAGTCCATTGCAACATAAATTGGGAAAGTCAGGAAGCTTGCAAATGTTGCTTTCAAGCTGGAGCGGTACTCCGATAAGTTGCCAAACCTTGTTGGATCCGCCAGTCGTAGCCTACGCGGTGAGACCGCAGACTTTTGGGAAAAAGTTGGACTCTTGTGATCCATCAAAAAGTTCCAACCTTTAACACGTGAATGACGTTTGTTAGGAGAGCGTTTTAGCATTTATTAAGGCAGGTGAGAGCAGCTTTGCCTGAAATTCAAACCGCATATTCCTTAACAAATCAGTATTCCTTCTCGATGGGTCCGCAGTCTATGCTTCCTCCCCAAGCCGCCCTTCTTTGCCTGCACGCATTCAAACAGGAATATACCCCCAGGGTTGGACTTTGCTTTGGCCCCTCATTTTTGCCTTGTCGAATTCAGCTTTTGACCCAA